TATCTTATGTGATAAAACAAACCTTATCAAAATAATGAGGATTGAAATCATGTAGTACATGTTCTTTGATCACAATGAAATTCAATGAGAAATAAATATCATAAAAAATAACTGGAAAATCTCCAAGTACTTGAAAAATGTTCTACACAATCTGCACAATTCTAAATAATCCACAAGTCAAAGATAAAGAAATTAGAAAATATTTTTGATGTAAAGCAACAATAATGTATCAAAATTTGTCAGATGCATCTCAAAGCAGTGCTCAAAAATTCACAGGGCTTAATGCTTTTTTTAAAAAGGAAGAAAGGAAACGGTTTACTAACTGACTCAGTGTTCTCCTTCCTTGGCAATTCCCCATGAAAAGGGGCTCAACCAGCATGTATCTCTGCAAACTAGACGTGAAGATTAAATGAGGAAGCACATATTAACGTGCCTTGTTTGCGCCCAGCACTTATTATATGCTTCTATTTTACTTACAGCCTTGATTTAAAATTTAATGTGAAATTTATTGTGTCTTTAACATGTTGAGATAATTTCATCATTATTTCCTCTCTAATTTCCTCTGTGATAAAATATATTGATAAATGTTTTAATATGAAATTATCCATACATTCTCAGAGTAACTATTTTCCTTAAAATTTTATATCTATAATAATATCTGAGATTATAGTTTCCTTTCCCTTTTTGAAGAAAGGGAGTTGTCTTTGTTGGGTTTAATATCATAAAGGCTGTGCTATATTTATAAAGTGATCTAAAAGCTTTTCCATTTTTTCTGGCCTGAAGTAGCATATCTCATATTTAAAGGCTAATAGAAGCCTTTAAAAAAAAGAAAGAAAGAAAGAAAGAAAGAAAGAAAGAAAAAGTGATTAAAGAGACTTTTTAAAAGACCAAATGTAATACATAATCTTGATTGAATCCTGAATTTAAAAATATGTTTGTTGTAATAACTAGGGAAATTTGAATGTATATTGATAAATCCTCTGATTCCTTGAGTAATTTTTAATGTAAGTCTTTCATTGCTTATCTACTGTTTTCTATGGTAAATCATGTACTGGATGTAAAATGGTCATTTTGAAGCTAAAAAATGACCAAAATACTGGCAATGTTAAACAATTCCATCTAATAGTAAAATGAACAGCCACATATCCTTCACCTTATTCTTGTTAATAACTTGTCCATCTTTCTTTGTCAGCTTTCTCTTAACACACATATTTGCATAGTTAGTAAATATATTTCTATATAAATTTTTTAAATCTATTCATTTATCTTTCATGAAATCATTTGACTGTAGGAACACATAGATACTTCTTGTCCAAATAGTAAAGCATGAATCTTTTAGAGATAAGTACAGTTTCTTAATTACCCCAAATACCACTATCATATCTTGAATATTTTTAAACACCATGATTATGAGCATATATTCAAATTTCCTGGTATTGTATAAAACATGTTTTTAAACTCAAGATTCAGTCAACTGTATTTCATTTGATGTTTTTTATGGAGGTAGGCAGTCTTCTTAATAAGTTTTCTCTTTTAAAAAACATCTAAGACACTAATTTTTTATTTTTTATTTAGAAGAAATAAGGTCAGTTATTTCATACGCTGTTCCACATTCTGGGCTTGTCTGTTTCCTCATACCATGAATGAATAGATGCTTAGCTTGTTACATTTCCTGTGAATTCGAAATTAGGTCAAAGCTTGAAATTCAGGTTGAACATCTTTAGGTACCGTTTTATTACTTATTTTTATTTTATTGAATTATAAAAATATAAGCTGTAGTCATTCTGCTTTTCAAAATGTAAGATTTTTTTTTACCTGATTTGGCTGTATGTTTCATACATAAGTATTTGATATCTTTAAGCAGAAATTTCTATACATATGTATTAAACTGGGTTTCTTGATTATGTTCTCAGATTCTCCATATCTTTATAAATATTTTTGCTACATGTGTCAAATCCTGAAAGAAGTATGTTAAATTTTCTATGCTGCTATTTTATAGTCAACATCTTGAGTTTTTATTCTATATGTATATTGAGGGGGCAGTGCATTTGTGTGATACATCATTTTATGATAATTAGAGAATCTTCAAATTTGCCTTTGCATTTATCTGACATGTCTTACTTATCCACAAAATGAAACACAAAATGGTCACATTCTCCTTTGCATATTCAGACTTTTATCCTCAGGTCCCCATAATGAGAAATCCTAAAATACGGAGTGACACCAGCACCAGAAACCATGTTGCTAGGTACGAGGCAGTGGAAACTTCAGCTCCTCATCCTCCATTTCATCCTGGTTCCCCATAAGCAGTGAGTTAGTACTGCTTTAAGTAGATTTCAGTATTTTAGTCAACATCATTTAGTTTCCCCGGAATTCTTAACTTTTCCTCAGAAAGTAATCTTATTTTTCAATCTGTTGTAATTTTTACTTGCTAGTATATGTTTTAAATTTTAATGAAACTGTTGAAGAAAAATAACTCTATCAGATCCAAGGAATTACAGTAAAGTTTCCACTGTGCATCTACCCTAACGACCAATTGCATAGCCAAAATATGGCATTTTAACTGGAGTTTTTAAAAATAAGTGCTGATTTTTACCATACAGAGTCACTTTGAAAAAATTACTTAAAACAGAGAACTGCTCATTAGAGGCAAAATATACTTTAATGCATTTTTCATTATACTCAGTACAGCCATCTGGTTTGTAAAAACGCTAGAGGAATTTTGGAAGAATATTAGCTTTTCTTGTTTTGGTTTCCTTTTATCTTTGTTTTAAACGCTCTTTCCAGTGCTACATTTGCAGCATAGAATATAATTGGCCAGTAACAAAGTTGCAGCCCTGTTTGAAAACAATGATTCAAAAGTATCTCCAACCAGTTGCTTCTGGCTGATAATGGCCACCTTTCGCTTGTCCTCTGCAGGATTAAATTTGAACCTCCTTCCATATAAGCCTCCTGTTTATCCTCCTCTTCCGTCCCCACCTGTGAGTCCCCACTAGGAAAGCCACTCCATGTCTACAAAGCCCAGCTGTAGTGCTGGGGACAGGCTTGTGGTGCTCCAGGGGACTCACAACTAGCCCTGGCTCCTCACCTGCCCTTGCAGCTCTGCCATTCTGCAGCCAGTGTCCTGGGGCTGCAGTTTATTCTGATCTCGTTACAAAATAATCTCAGGCTTTTCTTTTTGTAACCGTCTGTCACTGTGAATCTGTTCAGTACAGCCCCTTTGTCATCTCAGTGGAATTCTCAAAGGCAGGAGGTATATGTGTTTCCAACAGTAAATTCTGTATTTCACTAACAAACACTAGACATTTGAGCAAGTGTTAAATTTCTGTAAATATCAAAATAATGCATGTCTGTAACCTAAAACTTTAAAACTAAAAAATTATTTAAAAGAATAAAACTTGCATAAATAGAATCATTTCACACAGAGGTAATTCCTATTAACACCTTTGTATGTGTTTAAAGGTCTGCAAAATTCAGATTTCTTTTTACTTTAAAATATAATATCATCACTTCCTAATCTTATTAGCTACCCCTTGATATTATATTCTCAAGGATTTGAATAAATAAAATCAGATGATTACACTAAAATTACTTATTTAAATTTGTATTATAACAGATTAGACTAGAATAATTTTAGACTGTTAAAAGTGATCCTGTGATTTTTCAGTCATGTATAAAAATTTTGAATCTCTGATTATGTTCTTAGGATAGATTAATAAAAGTAGAACTAAGGAGTTAAATGGTAGAATATTTTAAAGCTAAAAATATATTTAGCCAAATTCTTCTAGTAATATTGAACAATGTAATTTATCCTTTTCTTGGTGATGTTTTTTCCAAGTGGTTTCTTATTAATCTAGGATTATAGTGTGTTTTTGAAAACACCTAATAATGTTTTAAAATTTGGTGCTGATTCCAGAAAGGCCATTGTTTTCTGAGTCTGTGGGAAGGTATTCATTTTTCCTCCTTCTATAGAATGTCTTGTTGAGCTCTGTGCTAATTTTCTTGCCTTTGGAAATACTTGAATATTGAAAAGTAGTTCCAGATTCAGTGTTTGCCAATAGACAGATGCATGTATACCCCTGGCTCCTCAATGCCCATCTGGTTGTGCATCACATTCTTTTCCTGGAGGCCTAGCTAGTAGGTCCATTTGAAACATTCGTACCCCCGGCACACAGGACTTTCTGCTGTCCTCAGTGTTGATTTTGAGGCCCTGGTACCAATGCTGCACAATCTACTCTTGAAATCTCCACTGCTGGCCACCACTTTAATAATGGGATCTTTACCCCCTCAGGATGCAATGTCCCATCACAAATGCCAATCCCCATCTCTCATCCTTTTGTTTTTTTTTTTTCATTTACATTTATTCAACAAATATGTATTGAGCTTCAACTCTGTGCTAACCAATGGATAAAGAATAGAATAGAACAGAACAGAACAGAATAGAATACAAAAGTCCTTGTCTTTGTGTACCTAAGACTGCATCTCTACATCCATCTCCCACCCCTGCCCATGAGTTTCTGCCACAACTGTTTTGATTGACGTGAGATCTCTAAATTGGGGCAGGAAGTGGGGCTATGAACAAACTGTTATTTTGTTCTCTTACAGATAATTAAGAATGTTCTATTCTATGAAGCTAAGTAGGAGTAAGCCAATGGTTGCTTTTTCTGAAAAGCTTTATCAGCCTTAGATTATTGAAAACTCTTTATGAGATTATATTACTAGCTTGTCCATTATTTGAGTTTCTCTTGGTACTAGGTTAATTTGTCTCTTCTGGGCTTTGAAAAGCATTTTGTATGGATTTATCAGTCAGCTTTAGGGACTACTAATTGGAAACCATATTGAACAAAATTCATACAGGACATTGGCAAACCATAATGTGCCTTCTTCTCCCAAATAAGCTTTGAGGCAATAATTTTCAGAAAGAAAAATTTTTCTCTTGATGACAGAGACAAAGCTATGAGAACAAATGTATTTTATAAACCAATGATGCTATCATATAGTTTTCGATGTTATAATTTATTTTATTTGCTGTTTCTGCTTTCAGTCCTCAATGCAAACATTTGGCAAGGATTTTTTTTTTAGTTTCTCGGCCGAATCCTCAGTCTGTGCAACTCAGCAGGATACCAAAGTGAAGTAGAAATCTGGTCCACATTTACATCTCCATGTAAATTTGTTACTGGATCCCATAGCTTCCAAATAACAATTGTGGCTTCACTCAAATGTATTTGCAGTATTTTCAGTAGGTAGAGCTTTGTAGGGGAGAATAGAATAAAGCAGTTTCAAATATGTGACACACATCATATAGGACTAGGCAGAATGATGTCAATTATGGGTTCCACACATGTATTTCTGGGGCCTGCTTTGTCACACAAACATCTTTCTTCCAAACATGCACACATGTGAGTCCATGCACATGTGCGCGTGTGCACACACACACACACACACACACACACACTCCTCAGCCAAATTGAAGCATTTTTAATTTTTCCCTAATGAGCTATACTATTTTTATAGGTTTTTCCTTCTATCAATATAAGCTTTTCCTTCTTATTATCTGAATGGCTCCTACTTCTGTTTCTTCAGACTAAGAGTTGGTCATCTGCCCTGAGAATCTTTTATGAGCATCATCCTGCTACAGCTAGAAAGACTTTCCCTGCTTTGTACCCTCATCACCATCTCCACGTTTCCCTTCATGGTAGACCCCAGCCCCAGAAGGAATTTATGTCCCACTTATATATCTGAATCTCAATTCTCCACATTAGCCTGTGGACCCCAGATGGTGAGGGTAAGGTCTGAATCTTTTCTCTCTGTCTCCAAGCCCTTGACACAGAGTCCAGCTTGCAGTAGGCATTCAGGCCTTTTGAGGTTCCCCATCAATCACCTTGAAGTTCCTACACCCACAATACTCCCTCTCTGCTGGCCAGAAATTTCTACCTGCTCTTCTCTGCTCAAACCTCTTCCTTTTTTCCCCTAATTTATCCGTCAAGCTGATGATTTTCCCAATAAACTAACAGAACAGAAGCCATTAAAAGAGGAAAGCACGGCTTCCCCACTGTTTCTAGATAGCTCCCTGCCTCTGTACCCTTAAACTCTACCTCTCCTCTGACTCCAGTGGACAAACAAACCAGCCTCACCGCAGTGCAGGTCCAAGCTTCCATCACGTGGCAGTCACATATCTCTCACTCACCAGAAGTTTCTCTCTTCTCTTTCATAAAATTATGGTGTCAGCATTTGCATCTCTTCTCTCTTATGTAATCGTTCTGTCTTCTCCATGAGATAGCTTTAAACTTGGTTTACTAACATTCATCTAAAAAATAAAAATAAGAAAGCTTTCTTCCCGATACGAGTCTCCAGCTAAAGCCCCATTCATATTCTGCTGTCTTTTACAACAAAATCCCTCAAAAGAATTATCAGCTCCCAGTGTCCACAGTTCTTCTGTTCTCGTTCTGTTTTAAACCATTCCGACCAGGCAGTAGGCCATTAGTCCACATAACATATTCTTACTAGTCTTGGTACTTCCCTCTGTGTTGCTAAATCCGATGGTCAACTCTCACTTTTCATTACTGCACAATCAACCACATTTGGCAAAACTGAGCCTCCTCCTTGCTTGAAACCCTCTCTTTACTTGGATCCTGAGATGCACGAGGATTAAAAAATTCTTAATTCCTAAAAACACTTTGGACAGTATGTAAGTCAGTTTTTTGCAGTAGGAATAACTAACCCTCGTGTCTTAGTGTCTTTGTACCACAAAGATACATTTCTTATTCAAGCTACATAACATAAAGACTTCTGGTCAGCGCAACCTGCTGGGCTCATCAGCAAATCATCTCAGCAGGACTCTATCAGGGGGCTCTGTGCCATCTTTTTTCTCATTCTCAGGTAGAAGGAGAGAGAGGAGCCCCAGCTAAAGCACACTGTTTGCTCATAGCTGGAGGTAGGAACACAAGGCAGAGACACCCAAAGTCTAAGAACTTTTGCTCTACAGACTACAAAAGAAGGTCAGTTTGGGAAGTTATTACATTCTCACTCAGAGCCTACTAACAGGTGTGTTTCCTATTGAATGATGTATATGATGCAACAGAGAACGTCTATGTGGAGTGTCTTAGATGCTGCCCTACTGTGTCACCTGGAGGAGCAAGGAGATCACAGCAGAAGAAAGCTAGGACTATTTGACTGGATGTTCAGGAGCCAAGGGAACCACATGTTAGACAGCACAAGCACAGAATGGCCACTGACATACATCCCCAAAGAAGCTCACTTCCAGTGCCCACCAGAGCCAAAAGGAAATGCACCACAGTCGCACTAGTCCATTGAGACCCTTCTTGCCCTAAAGCTGTCACCAAACCTAACACTGGAAGAGCTAAGCTGAGAAATAAGGATGAGACAGTATAAGCAAGTGGAGAAAGAGATACAAGACTGCAGCAAACCCACGCTGGTAGAAGGGAATCACTTTGAATGGAATTCAGGTTCTGTTATTGCATGCAATTAGAAATAGTTATTAATGAGCTGATACTAGTTGTGATTAAAGTTAAGGAGAAGAAATGATAAAGCTGTTTCCTCTTACACCTCATGAGCCCATATAATCCTAAGTGCTTCAGCTCTTGTATTCCTTGGACTGGCTGCTTCTGCCTGGGCTTTCCAGTACCACAGGGCTGCGTCCCAACCCTGGGGAAACCTGGCAGTTTCACTGACATCCTTGACCATGAGAATGTGGGAGGCAAGAACCTTGGCTGGCCTCACATTTGACCCTGTTTATGTAAAGGAAATCTAGGCATTGGACCAATTTAAGACCAAGGAATTTTGCAGCTGGAGTGCTGAGCTTCGTTTCCTTTTTCATTTATAAACACAGTGGGAGCTGATTTCAAAGTGTTTTTAGGAAGTCAGTAAAAACACTGAGGTGTAGCTACTACTGTTTTATGAAATTCCATCTATTGTTTTGACCTTACCTCTGCTTAAATATAGAAATAAAAAGCTCAGTGTGGCTGGGGGAGAGTGGAGGTGCATTAGTCATCACATCACCCACTTCAGGTTGGGGGAATTCTTAACCAGAGGTCCATTTCCTACTTTAATCAGCCAAGAGATGCAAATTGAGTCAGTGATTAAAGGTAACATGACTCAGGTTAAGAACCAGGTCTTTGGGATTCGTTTCCTGGCCAAGAGAATTACAACTCAATTGCTGATAGAGTTAAGTGGAAAATATATACTTTTGCCTTTATTAGAGCTATTGTTACTTTTAAAGACCCATTGAGAATATAAGATCAAACTTAAACATGATAGCATGAATTCTACTTATTGGAAACTAAAAGAACCATTGGGAATATCGCCTTGCATTCCCAGTCCTACCCATGCTCTGCATCTGACCTTGGAATTCACACTTTACTATTGCTCATTAACACTCAACATCAAGCAAATAAAAATGCTCAGCTAGACACAAAGTTGACTAACAGGATCCTTCACCAGTGGATTTATTTGTTTATCTAGTTTTTGCATTTCTTAAAATGATACTCTTCCCCAAAGCACGTTGGGATACAAGCAGCACATTAAAACAGTGATTAAAATAGATATAACATTACAAAGTACCAATTAAAAGAATAGCAAATGAGGTTTTGCTTTAAAACACTACTGTGCTGAAAACCCTTCAAAAGCTATTCACCTCATCAATGTGCTAGGTACACGTGCAAGGAGTGTAGGAAACTTTGTTGTGGCTTGAGAAATCAGAAAAGAAAAATGTGCTAATAGGAGTTTTTTAAACCTTGCCCCTGCAGTATAATTTTCCTCTACTCCTCTCTATTCACCTATAGAGGTAGTTTGTTTTATTAGGCACCTTAATGTGTCTCTTTAGCCAGAAAGGGTTACAGAGCACTCAAAAGCCTCTTTCTTTCCTAGAGGCTGTAACTTGAGCCTAGAGCCATACTTTACATGGCTTAAATGGCAGCTGATCATGCTTAAGTACTGGAAACAATCAAAGGATCATAACCCTGGAGAACATTCTGCCAACTGAGAAGGAAAACCCTTGTCATTTATCCCCCGTTTTCACCCCATCAGGCCCAGGAGCCTGGCACAGTTTCCTCCCATGACATTGTGTCCTCTCTCTGTTCTGTGGAACACCTAAGCAAGGCCTAGTTAGTTACTAGTCACTGACCTCTCCATCTGATTTCAATTTTGAGTGTTAAGAAAGCTTTTTTGTAATGTGTGGTTTCAGAAATTGGAATTTGCATGGGTAGCGAGCAATTTACAGAAGGCAGTAACACTGCAGTTGTCCAGTTTTACACGTGAGAGCTTAGTGAGTATTCTCTACTGGGAAAGGGAAAAAGTACTCTTCATTTCATTGAAATGAGGGCATGTGCTCACTCACTGATACGCTGCTCATTAAAAATACATGGAAACCTTTCACAGACTGTCTTGCAGGAAGCCCATCTTGTTTGTATAAAATTGTCACTTTTTGCCCTTTCTGCTTTATTCCACCCTAAATACTATGATTCCATGATGTAGGTGCCCATCTTTGCAGTCTGGTTTCTCTCTCACTCCTACCTCTCCCATTCCAGCAAACCAAGCCTTCCACAGCACCCAGCACTGCAAGCACTTCACACCTGGTGCCTTTACACCTGTTCTTCCACCTTAAAATGAATTTTCCTTTGGGATTTAGCATTTTCCATCCCATCAAGCTTCATAGCTAGTTAAACATCCCTTTCTCTGTGTCTTGTACACAAGGATTATTATTACTTCTAAATGCAACCATGTATTTACTGTTTGATTTTACAGTTTGATTTACTGTGAGTTTACAGAAGTGGTGATCTACCCCACTTTTGGAAGCCCCAATAAAACATATAGAAATAGCACACTGTAGGCTTAAAGAGTAGTAGCCTTGGATTTAGAATTCATACAGTACTGGCCTTAGTTTTAAAACTGGATTTGCAGTTTTAAATTCTGTTACCTGCTGGGGGAGTCACCAAAGCTGTAGTTACCTCATCTGTAAAATAGGAATAACATAGTTCTTTTCATTTATTCACTTATTCAATAAACACCATCTACTGTTATAAAATGTTTCTCTAGGTTATTAATATAAAAAATGGACCTCTGATTCAGAGTGTTCTGAATTGGATGTGCTTGGCTGGACCAAACTAAGATTTCATTTTCATAGAGTTTATATTGTAGTAAGAGTGACAGGAAACACATAAGTAAGATTGATCTTCTGTGATGATGATCTTAGGTAAGGCTTAGATAAAAAATAGAGTATGGTGACAATATTGAAAAGTGTCTATTTTAGGGAGGAAAGCAGTGACTTTTGCTCAGAAACCCCACTGAGGTATCTCAGCGAAGAAGGCTCAAGCTGAAGGAATAGTGGGCAAAGAGATCTTTAAGGAACACAAGAAATTGTTACAAAGTTGAGTGAGAAAGGTGGGCAGCAGAAAGATAGGCAGAGCTTGATTATGAAGAGCTTGTCGGGTATGAAGGGAAACACTGGATTTATCATAAATGCGATATTTTGAAAAGGACCACAGTGATCTAACTCAATACAGTGAAGGGTGAGGGAGTGGATGATTAAGTGAAACGCTGCTGGGAGGATATTTTCCAAAACATTGCACGTAAGGTCAGATTGCGAGTAGATGACTGAGGCTGAGAGCTCTTGAGAGAAGGCCCACGGAGAGGCCAGCACAGGAAAGACAGAAACCACAGTCCATCCAGGGCACACAGTAGTCATTTCTAAATGACTCTGTGCTGCAAGACAGCAAGGTTTCTTCTGGGGAAAAAAGAGCAGATGTTGGCTCACATGCACTATGTTGTCCTAAATGCTTGAGTGATGTGCAGATTTACCTGTCAAGATGCTCTGGACGAACTCATTTTCTTCACAAAAATGGAGAGACCGGTGACTAATAAGAAAGGGACTATGAATATGTGCTAAGGCAGCTGACATGGAGGAATATTAATTTGATGCTAACAAGGTTCACCTGAGGTTTGCTCCGCGGGCCTCTCCACGCAGCTGACACACCTTCCACTTTCCCTGACACAGCCGCACACTTTCTCGCCCGGCCTGAAGTACGCTTTAGAGCTCAAAAGAATTCCTGTTAAGCAGATATTCCACAACAAAGTGAAGACAGAGATTGGGGAAAGAACTGAGAGGGATTCTTGTTTGAGCCATTTTCTTATGAATAGTGATGAGATTATTGGTCGAGCCCTGAAGAAATGAGACCTAGAATGGGTGGGTACTTGTAGAAGGGAGGGAGGCTGGAGAGGTGATAACTAACCATAAAGGAAAAAAACTAGATTAACAGGAATATGTCACTGCAGCAAGGTCCTGGGGAAAGTGAGCCTGTCTAAAAGGATAAACTTCTGACATCCAAAAGGGAGCTGTATCTCAAGCCAGAAAACAGAATTCTCAAGAGCACTGTAATGCCTTTATGTCTATAGTTCTGAACCAAACACTGTGAAATAACAACCCCTAAAAGTTATATCAGGCAGATTTTAAAACCTCTTCTATAAGAACATATTTAAACGGCTTCCAGTTTTGTCACCTCCCCCCTGCTTTGAGGGTGCAGCATTCATGAGGGTTTCTACCACAAAGCTGTGACCGCTCGGGAATTTTACCTCAGTGTATATCGATGCCCAGCCAAGACTGCACTGGGGAGCCAAGGCTTGCTGAGGCTCTTGGTCCACTCTTCCAGGTTCCTACTCATATATAGTTTCAGGTTCACATATAGTGTCATGTGCCCAATGGAGTGTGACCCCCGCTCTGCCAATTATACACAAAAGGGAAACCTCCAAGAATTCATTACAGCATTAGTATAGTGGCAATTAAAAGCATCATTAGACTGACTTAAAGGACTTTTTGATTTTCTACAGGAAACATTTTGAAACTCCTGTGTTTTTAGCTCTTGCAAAATCCTTAGATGGGACTCCCCTGCAGAAGAAAGTAACAAACAGAAGTCAGAATATATTCTTGGCTACCATCAGCAGGTCCCTCCTACGTGTTTCCTATACCATTCACTCCATTTTAACTGTATCTGTCCTGCTGTGAGTACAGCTGGAGTGTAGCTTTAGCCATCTTGAGAACACTGAGACTTAGGTTGGCCAATTCTGTTGCTCAGAGAAGCCCACAAGTTCAGGGAGACTGAAACTGGCAAAGGGTGACCTCTGAATTCCCGAAACCATGGAGCTAGACTTCAGGCCTAACTGAAGGCAAGGACAGGTGTCAGAACTTTCAAAGAGCTCTGTCTGCCCTAGCATGACTGGCATCGGCTTTGTTCTCATGGCCTCACACCCCTGACCATTTCCTCCCTGCCTACCAGAGCCCTTTGCAGACCATCGCAGCCTTTGTCTCTAAGCTTTGGTCCCTGTATCCTCTGCCCTTCTCTTTCTTTTATTCGGCTAGTGTTTCTTGAATGCTCTCAGAGTGAGGGGAGTACCACGGCTCCAAAGAGCGTGGCCTCCTGAGTGGGAGGACAAACTGCATATGTGTGAGAACGCCATGACTGTGCAGAGGAGCTACGAGGGCTCCTCTAGGCCTTGGCTCCCATGGCTCAGGCTGCTCTTATCTCACTTCCCCTTCTTACCTCAGTTTCCACCTCATGCTCAGGTGTGGTGACTGCAGAGACTTTCCTCATCCCCTTTGCTCCTTGGGCCACACTGGACTTGAAAAACACAGTGAGCTGGGTCATGGCAGAGCAAACTTGTGGTTGAGAAGATGGGCTCAGAAGTGCCCATCCTGGGTCTTCTTAGCTGTGAGTGTTGAGGCAAGTTTTATCACTCTTCTGTGCCTGTTTGTCATCTTCAAGTGGGACTGATGCACTTACCTCACAGGATCAGTTCCTTGTGGAGGACTGAATCAGCCCAAGGGAAAAGCTCAGAATGGTGCACAGCACATGATGAATGCCTGTGATTGTTATGCATTCCAAAGACTGCCATTCTCAGTGGGCGGCACGATTCTCTAAGGTACTAGCACTGCTCGTTTATCTTTGAGTCCTCGTCACCTGCAGCTTGGCACAGCACAGACTGCATAAACACATGCTGAATGTTGAACATACTGCAGATTTGAACAAACAATGAATCACCAAATAACTGGACCTTAGTAAGGACATATGAAGCAACATCACGTCATAGAACATCTCTAGACTCTCAGATCCAGGAGGCCTTTACAAGTGAAGTGAGACCCTGAGATTTCTCCAACACTGGCTTTCCTGGATTGCACAGGGCATAGGCTGGCCAGAGCCTGGAGATTGGGGTTCAGTCCCCACTCCAGAATCCTGTGGCTTCCACAGTGTCTGAACACATTTTCCTGAGGAATTCCAAGCAGGGTCTACATAAGCAGAGTTCCCAAACCGTGCAGATCACTCCAGGCTGATAGCTTAGCAAAACACAATGTTCTCATTTGGCACTGGAGGGCTCTGATTTTCAGGGTCCAGGGAGGGACTGAGACCTGAAATCTGTGTTTCTAAAAAGTTCTCCAGGTGACTCCAAACTTCAGGCACAGGCTTGGAAATGAATGAACTGGATTTCTCAGACCAGAGGACAGATGTGACACATTCCATTTACAGCTCACAGCACAGCCACGCATGCGAGCATGTAACACATGTGCACACATTCACACACTCACTGGCTCAGGCATGCATGTCAGCTGCCCACTCCAATGAGTTTGTCCTCACCCTGTACCTTACATGCAGAACACTGGGTGTTGCCAGTTCCCATACAAACCCCTGCTCTTTGAAGGAGTAAATTCTAAGGATACTGGACCACCCAGCCCTGCCCTGCCCCAGCACACATGTGACAAACGCAGGCTGAATTAGCACCTGCAGCCGCGCCGTGGTAGTTATAAACTGTGATGGACCTGCTTAATTGTTTTGCCTACATAAGCACATTTTGCTTCATCTATTTGTCAAACTGAAGGAAGGCTGTTTTATAAAATGGGATTTAATTAAATGTTTTGTCCCAGCCTGGCCTTTCCCTTCCGCATCTGCATTATGCTTGTGTCATATTTTCCCTGGAGGGCAGGAAAACAATTTAGTGAAAATGAAGGATGCATTGATTTACTACAGAAAAAGGAAATGCCAAGCTAACAACTGCCCTCTATAATTTTCTAGTGACCATAAGAGAGAGCCTGGGCATTTAACTTAAAGACACTGTGTTTCCAGGTACATCTGGCTCTTTATATCTGTAGTATTTATGCTGCTGTGCTTATAGCCTCACTCTTGATTGAAATTATTTCAGGAATACTCATAAGAGGTATTTTTCTTCCCTGAACAGAATAGATGTTTCTGGTAAGTAAAGTCATTTGTTTCCACCGCCAGACTGGTGACGAGGGCAAGGAAGTCATTCTGTCCCCAAGACCCTAACAGTGGAATCTTAACACACCTCCCGTCACTTAACCACGGATCTCCCACTGCGTATAGAATTTAACTCGACCTACTTTCCTGTCTGTTGATCTGCCTCAGGCCTCAAATGTTCTTCTACTGATATCATCTGTTTTCTGGTTGTACTCTTAGATCTTTCGCTCAATACAGTATCCCACTGCCTCAAAGGAAGCAGGCTACATTAATAGTCTGAGAGAGCTGGATATGACAGCACCTTGCTGAGTATCTCCTGCCTCTAGCCAGTCATCCTGTGTCCACTCTTACTGACTTGGAATCTGAGCCTGTCTAGCCAACCATCAGGGTGGCTCTGGGAGCAACTTGTTTTGTTTGAGGCGAAGGCTGCCAAGGAAGGGAAGGAAGGAATGTGGGACCAGAAATCAGAAAAATGTGATTTGCTACAGAAACACTCCCATCCTCTCTGAGATCTTTAATACTCCTTCCAGCACTAACAATCTTGCTAAGATTTTATTGAGCACCTACTATATGTCAGCTACTGTAGCGGGATCAATTGTGGGGAACTGAAGCACACAGAGTCCAAAAGTTGGGAAAGCAGGTAGAGTCAGCCCTTCACAAAAACAACAGGGTGAGGTGTGTTAGAAAGATCTAGCCCCATACCAGGTTACACACAGGCTTTTAGGAGAAGCGTAACTACTATATGAAAGATAAGCAGTAAGTTGAAAGAAGAGCGATTCTGGCAGACCCTCACTGTCCAAACCTCAACCAGCCCCTCCCAGCTGAGGATGCCATTTCCCTCTGATGAGTATTTGCCTTCTCCCCTGTCCATCCATAGGAAACCCACCAACCGGCCACTAGATAGGAGTTGATCAGTCAAAATGCATGTATAGCTCATTAGGCTGGCCATAGCGGTACACTCCTACAATCTCACACTTGGGAGGAAGAGGCAGGAGGATTGTTGCAAGTATGAGACCAGCCTGGGCTACAAAGTGAGCCCAAGCCCAGCCTGAACTGTATAGCGAGACCCTGTCTCAAAAAGACAAAAACATTTTTTAATGAAAAAATAAAAACAACGTATAGCTAATTAGCCACAAAGTACAACCCATCAAGAGGAAATATTTTGCTGTTTTATACAAAGAACCAGGAAACCTATAGTTTCACTGTTTCCTCTTCTCTATATACATGAAGGAAACAAGCTGGAGGACCTTGCCTCTGCTCTGATTTTCACAAATCATCTGACCAAACTGGAGGGGACTTGACGAGACAGGACAATAACTCACTTTTCAGTTCCTGATGGACTGAACAAGAGCTGGCGGAGATTGTTTTGCATTTATAACACTTTCCAGCTGAAGGCCTCAGAGTGCTTTGTGAGCAGTGATAGGCAGACTTCGTGCTAACACTAAGTGCTCTCGTAATAAATTCTCAGGCAGAGGTCGGATACATTAGGCAGCAGGGGTGGGTGAGGAGAGGTGGCTGGAAAGGGGGCTGTGAGCTGACCCTGCCAAGCAGTTGGACCAGGTCCCCTGCCCACTATCCAGTACGCTCACCACAAGGGCTTGTGTGGATCCTCAGGCAGGCCAAACCCACTTGTCCTCACACCAGAGGGAGTTTCCCAAACCAGAGTCAGGAGACTATGGGAGCTGACTGACAGGAGCTGAGGGCAAGAAAAGGACAGAGACAGAGAGACTCGGGGAAGACAGGAAGGGCCTGACCCCAGGAAGGGCAGGGAGAAGCACAGACCATGATAAAGGATTCTCATGAGTGCCTGTGACTTCCCTTAATATGCGATTTCTCCTGGTCCTCCCTCAGGCCCTAGTCTGTCCCTTCTAGAAGCTGGAATGCTCCTGTTCTGTGGGTAACTGTGTTAACTCCAGGTGAAGTAAGGTGTCAGCAGAATACCTGTGTGCCATTTTGTACCCAGTGGCTGGGAAGCTGAGGATCCTGGGGAGGTATCTCGGTGGACTTCCTGTCACCCCCTCAAATCCCACCACTGCCCTGGTGTCCCATGCATTTCAACCCTCCTTCCACAGCTTACATCTCCTGGACAGCTTGATTGCACTGATTCACCCCTTTAAGGGAATTTGTTGAAAGGCTAACATGTAAGACAGTGTCTTAGAATCAAAGTAAAGAAACTTTTCTGTGCTCCAACTTTTCTCTATTCCCCAGATTCAATGTAATGAGTCCACAATTTTTTTGGACAGTATAGTTTAGCATAGAATTAGATATACAAATGGAAATACGTAAGCTCTTTTAAATAGCATTAGAGAAATAGACAAATTCTTTTTATGTTGTTTAAAGGGTTATTTGAAACCTGTGAACTCAACAACTCTGACTTTGTTATGTTCTTCAAGAAAATAAGAGACTATTTGAGTCAAACTCTCTGCCTGGCTATCCATCAACACCTTTCCTCCCACTCAGAGAATAAGACACACTGGATTTATGATGGATAATGAAACTTTTTTAAAAAATCAAACACAAACCGGGCATGGTGGCACATGCCTGAATAATGCTATCACTTGGGAAGCTGAGGCAGGAAGATCACCACAAATTTGAGGCCAGCTCTGTTACATAGCGATCCCAAGGCCAACCTGAACTATATAGCAAGATGCTGTCTCAAAAAAAAAATTTAAAAAATCAAAGACAAATGTTCACAGGTTCCATCCTTAAAATATTTATGCTATGTTCATATATGAAAATTTTAAAAGTCCAAAAATATTTTTACTAAATAAAAATTTTATATATACAAGGCAAAATTGAGTGGAATACTTATTTTAAGAAAGATCTTGGTAAGGTTCAAAAATTACCAATAGAGTGAAACCATCCTAGCTGAAAGATGGGAAAGCTTGTGGACTAACCAAGGGGTACAAATATTACGCTGAAAAAAAAAAAGAGGGTTCAGGGTGGCAGACAAGGGTGGTTTAGGAATGGGGCTATAAGATCTGTACAGCAAGGGCCAGAAGGGGTCTGGG